TCTAAATGTAAAAAGGAGAAAAACTTCTGCTTCTTCTTTTTCAGGTCACCCTGCCTTGGTGGGAGACAACCGATGTGTTAAAAAAAAAGTATAGTGGTGCCTCAGAATAACTTTCATTCTGATTCAGAGGCACTGTAAAGCACCACTAATTAAGATGTAGATGGTTGAGAAAAGACTTAGATGAAACATTGATGCTGGGCCCTTACAAAACCTTCTCCAAGAATTCCAAGTTTTAATAATTGGCCTGAACATCTTTTGTCTGAGAACAGAGTACATGATGACATCAATTGCATATTGTACTGCTAACAATCTTGGTAGCCTCACAATCTCTTCTTTGTCACTGCCATAACTATCCTGTTCTATACCAGTACATACCAAGAACCTGGTTAACAAGTTCTGTATAACTCAATATTTAGCAACCAGGATTACCATCATTTTCTCATAAACATATCATTTCTTTCTCTATAAAGTCATTCTCCCACCCTCCCAGTGAAAAATCACTGGTTTCAAAGCCCAACTTGTCATCACCATTACACAACATTTTTTTCTAGTCATTAGCTAATGTTTTTTGTTTCCATAATGCTGCAAGGTTAAAAACAGCTGACTTCAGATTATACTTCTTGAAATTCTCCAATGTATGCTGGCCTCTTGATATCTCTTTTCAAGCCTTCTTCCTCATCACTAACAATTCATAGAGGTGTATACAAATGATCAACAGCCACAGGACCCAAAGAGCATCCACCCTCTGGTGCTCACTTGACCATAGCTATATACACTAGATAGTGGAGGGCGATGCAAGGCCAACTGATTCGGCAGTGCAGCACTGAACATCCCATTTGACCTCTATCCCCTAACCAAGAATCACGTTCTATTTCCAGCTTTACTCAGTCCTCTTGTCTCACGTTCTTCTTATCTGTAAACCCTTCTCATACCTCCTTTCTTCCCTTCTTTTCTCCAGTCTTCCTGCATAATTTCAAATCTGTTTCCCATTTTAAGAACCAACGCTGGGTTTGTGCTCTATAATGTACTGCACTACCCTTACAATATTAAACATTCTCAGTATACTTTACAAAGATAACTAAAAAATACTTAGGGATTTCTTTTCTTGCATAGTTTTTTTTTTTTTTTTTAACAAGTCGGCCGTCTCCCACCGAGGCAGGGTGACCCAAAAAGAAAATGCTTTCATCGTCATTCAACACTTTCACCTCACTCACACATAATCACTATTTTTGCAGAGGTGCTCAGAACACAACAGTTTAGAAGCATATACTGTACGTACGTATAAAGATACACAACATATCCCTCCAAACTACTAATATCCTGAACCCCTCCTTTAGAATGCAGGCATTGTACTTCCCATTTCCATTACTCAAGTCCGGCTATACAAAAATAACCGGTTTCCCTGAATCCCTTCACTAAATATTACCCTGCTCACACTCCAACAGATCGTCAGGTCCCAAATACCATTCGTCTCCATTCACTCCTATTGAACATACTCATGCACGCCTGCTGGAAGTCCAAGCCCCTTGCATATTATACCCTATTTATCCACCATAAAAACCTTGTCATTGTAATTATTTTCATATCTTCATTGCTGTTTAAAAATCCATACATCATGACTATATTACTCTCTTCTTTAATAACAAGTATATCTCAGGATAGAGAATGTAACATTTAAAATTATAATTTATTCTGAGATGAATTTCATGGTTATGTACAAATGAACATTATGTCCTGAGATAAGGGAAGATGCATATTGGGCTATTGTCATGGAAATTTCTTTTGTGAACTGCAGTATTTATTCATATTATAGAAGAGTGAAAGTAAGATTTGCTTTGTAATTGATAGGGGTATGCACCTTCCCGCCACTTGTACATGGATTGAATAACATAAACTTTAAAAATCTACGACACAGAGGAGCTCCCAACAAATAAGTATAACTAGAGGGCAAAATTGTAAACTGCTTAGGTAAGAGGAAGAACCATAGTTAATGAAGTGGCAGGCATAAGTGACACTAAGTTACCGCCACAGTAAATGGGCCAACACAGCTACCACATGTTAACTATGATCCAAGCTACTCAACAAATGTTACATGTACAAACACTTGTGAGCCATGAACAACATTTGTCAGCAGCAATTAACTGGCAAAAAGCTTTCTGAACTAATGGTACTGTTGCAGTTGCTTAATTCTATTGTGAGTGAGTCATGAGAAAATGTTGGGAGACACTACGGTAAGAGTGAACAATGGAGCAGGACACGGTAACGGAGACAAAGGAACAGGCATCATCTGCCAATGCTCCAATACAAAGAATAAACAACATCCAAACAGTAGCAAAATCATTCACTCATTTAATACATCATATATCTACAAATATGCACTATCATCAGCCTGGATTTAGTAGGGGAGGAACACTTGGAATGCACGCATCAAAATAGTGTATGCAATGGGATCTGTACATTAAGCAATTTTTTATACAATAATTATAATTTCAACTTCTGTACATGCACTTTATATGTCAAAGCACTACAATATTAATCTTTACCATAAAGACACTTATTAAAAGAAATGAAATTCATTGTACATAGATACAATTTAGTAAAAAGAAATATATCCTCAGAATTTTGTGGAATCTTTGGTAAATTAATGTAATTAATTATTCCTTTATAACCCCTACAAAAAAGTGCCTCCCCATCTCTAAAATTTTCTGGATAAAGAAAGTTAATCACCTGGGAGGAAGAGGTCACTTGTTATCTGATTTCAATAAATAAAATATAGAAAAATTCTAAAGGTTTTTGTGCAAAATTTTTTTTGGGGAGGTGTTTTCTTATCATGCCAGGTGATATGTAGACAAACATAAACACAACATGAGGGAAACAGCAAAGGGTGTATAACACCATAACAATGACATGAACAAAAGAGCTGCCGGACATTATTATAAAAATATTCCTTCTATGTTACACACAACAATGCACAGCATTCAGTCACTTTCTTGCTCTCCAGTCAAACAATATTTACAGATACTTGAGAGAAACCAGAAATCTGACTTAGTGTAAAATTCATTATTAAAAGTATATATTAAAAATCTCAATCAAATAACTTAAAAATCCTTGTACTTACTATCATAGATTAAACATCTACTACAAAAATTCATCCTTTTCTAAGGTTTTATAAAAATTTTGATTTGTTGTCTTAATTTACAGGTATGAAAGTGTACATATGAGTATTATATACTCTTGCATGTGGCTTCAGTATCTTATACTGAGATTTGCATCAAATCAATAACAAGTTCATTTCCTTGCTTGTACACAGGGATGATGGAAGGATCGACCAAATGCATGGCAATTCATCCAGTGACTAGTTACCCTAAAGAAAAGCATGCTCTCAAGTAATACACACTAGTATAAAAAAAATAAAATAAAAAATCTTTGTACTGTACCTTCTTACAGCTATGTATCTACATAAGCAGTACAATTATATAACTGGATAACTTACAGCCATGAATTCTTAATTCCTATGTGTTTAAACATTGCTATTGTGCTGAACTTACAAAGAAATCCGTAAGTACAGTGCATTTATTCATAATATCTATGGCATATTCTGTTTAAGACGTAAAAAAAAAATGAAAAAAGAAAAAAGGCTAGAGCAAAGCCTTCCTCAGACCATTATGTGCAATTTTGTGCCCACATTATTCACCAAACTTGTCCATTAGCTGCCTGTTCATAATATTCATTTGCCTGTATTCTCCTTTTTCTGCTGCAACTATATAGTTTCATTATCACTTTTCTTAATAAAAATATGGTATTATTAATGCTATATCAGTCATAATAAAAAAAAACTGCATTCAAAGAAAAACAAGGCGAGTCTTCCAATGGTAACAATCAAAACATTTTCAGGCCAGAGGCTCTCACAATACATTATGAATCACTAAACAGCTAAAACTCCAGTGTACAAAAGAGCAGTAGGTCACAAATTTTGAGGTTAATCACCATTTATGTTATAAGACCAATTTGATCATTTCTATATACTAGATAGTATTCCATAGGAATTTTTAAGATTAAGTTTACTTGTCAGATCTGTATTGTCTGATAATTACTTTGTTCTTTAATTTCATAAATCTAAACCTAACATTCCTCACTTCAAGTTTCTTGTTTTCAATTCTGTTTTATGTACAAAACTATATAAAGCTGTCACTTGTAAAGCTTTGGCCCCTTCAATTCTTATATGCATTCATTAGTTTTGAAATGACCACAATATTTTAGTAGAATCAAGAGTGCTCCTTATCTGTTTTAATCTCTCCAATATTTTCACAATTTTCAACTGAATAAAAATACCCTGCATATTTTCTACCTTTTCCAAACATCATTTTTGCTAAGGCAGTACCACCCTAATTTTAAAAGGGAGTTTAATCATTAAATGCCAAAAATTCATACTCAAGTTATTACATTGAAAGTTAAACAGACAATAATGGTATGACATTAGTTTTCACCATCAGTATCTGCCAACAATGACAAGTATAATAATAAGACTCCCAAGCTTGTACTACCAAACAAGTGACATTGCAATTATAGGATGGAAAGGACTGCCTTTGTGACAATGAAGGTTTCTTAATTTACCTTCTAGCTTCTTATTAATTCTTCCTTAGATCTATCTTCAGTTTTTCACCTCAGTTAAAAATATTTTCAAAAAATTTAGCAGACAGGTCACACCCTTTCACTGACAAAACTGTGATGGGCAAACCATAAAAAAAAAAAAAAATTACTTGAATCTATAAACTGCAGAAGGCTGGTACGACACATGAATTTGAAATTTCTTCAAAAAATTTTGAATACCGAGTGTTATCTGTCTGCCAATCTGTGTATCATTTATATATATTATTTATATATATATATATATATATATATATATATATATATATATATATATATATATATATATATTATATATATATATATATATATATATATATATGTATATATACATACATATACATGCAGGACAAGCCACAGGGAGGGGGGGAGGGAATCTTTAGCTCAAGTACTTTCACACTTCTCAGTGCATCATCAGGAGCTGTGCAATGTTGCAAGGGAGCAACCAAAGCAAGGAGAGAGGTCTCAGAGTAGCGTAGGTGTCACTGGCCATGGTTACCCTAAGGGTAACCATGAGACCTCTCTCCCTGCTTTGGTTGCTCCCTTGCAACATTGCACAGCTCCTGATGATGCACTGAGAAGTGTGAAAGTACTTGAGCTAAGATTTCCACCCCCCCATGGCTTGTCCTGCATAGTTAAGATCGCCCGTCTGCGACTGTTTGCATACATATACATGTATATATACATACATATACATGCTCATACACATATACATGCATGTATACGTTGTGCCAAATAGATAAAACTGGTCCATTAGCAAGAGCTAATTTAAAATTAAGTCCTTTTTAAAATTTTCTCTTATATGTTTAAAGATATATTTTTTCATTTATGTTAATGTACAAATAAATAATTTTGTACTAAAAGAACCTTAAAAAACTTACCTAACCTTATTTTAACAAGCCCAATTTAAGTTAGCCTAACCCAACTAAATATATTTTAGATAATTTTACAATAATTTAATAATAAACTAACACAATGAAATATATGTTTTTCATTAGGTTTAGAATAATTTTTGCTAAATTATTCCATACGCAAATTATTACTTGCCTTATTCGGCAAGAAGAGCGTTACTATTTAAGCCAAAATCACAAGTTTTACTTATTCGGCACGACATATACATACATATACATAAGCATATATACATGCTATATATATATATATATATATATATATATATATATATATATATATATATATATATATATATATATATATAAATAAATACTTTATAAATTAAATTACATTAATATAATTGTTTTACACTTGGCCCTCCATTTCCTTGAGTGTGAGGTGGCCGTTCCAGCCTATGAGCCAATCTCAGGAGGTGAAAGCTGCTGTTTTTTTGCGCTGCCTTTTGTTATTCTCCAATAAATAGCTCAAGTCTATTGCTCCCTTTGTTGGTAGTTGGGTAAGAAGTTTTGTTGCAACACTGTTGACTCGTACACGTTTCTTAGCTCGCTGTTGGAAAAAGAGCTACATTAATAACATAATGCATACATAATACAGAGATACATTATATAGAAATGTATAACACTTTCCCAGGAATAATAACCAAATACTTTAGTTGACCTACGTCCTGTAAAGACATGGTTAGCAGAAGATTCTTAGTGCTAGAGCAAGTGAAGTATTTTTCATCAGCTGTACCTTAAGGTGAAGGCAGAGCTTGAGGTACAGTTTCTTATAGAGGATAGCAAGAAGATTCATCCCTGAAACAAGGAAGAGCAAACCAGCTGCAATGAATAGAAATTAGTCCATGTGAAAGGAGTAAAGCTGAAGTTGAAGAAAGTTGAAAAAAAATTCTGTTGAGACTAGCAATTCCTTGGCTGTACAGTAGAACCCCGGTTATCAGCCGTAATCTGTTCCAGAAGGTTGGCCTAAATCCGAAAAGGCCGAAAACCGAAGTTATATTTCCCGTAAGAATTAACCCTTTGACTGTCACGGCCGTATATATATGTCTTACGAGGTACCGTGTTTGACGTATATATACTCATAAATTCTAGCGGCTTCAAGTCAAGCAGGAGAAAGCTGGTAGGCCCACATGTGAGAGAATGGGTCTGTGTGGTCAGTGTGCATCATATAAAAAAAATCCTGGAGCACGCAGTGCATGAGAAAAAAAAAACTCCGACCGTTTTTTTTTTAATTAAAATGCCGAATTTGTGGTCTATTTTCGTATAGTATTTATGGTTGTATTCTCGTTTTCTTGGTCTCATTTGATAGAATGGAAAACATATTATAGAAATAGAGGTGATTTTGATTGATTTTACTATAAAAAGAACCTAGAAATGGAGCTCAAAGTAGTGGAAATGTCTGATTTTTGCCAATGTTCAAAAGTAAACAAATGATGCCATTGTCCAATAAATGTCCAACTAGCCATTCTAATATGCAGTCATGAATGGGTTGATGTTATTTATACAATTATTACAGTATTGCAGTAGTCTGCATAATAGTAAGTCTGCTATTTTTTGTTTGAATAAAAATTCAAAATAGAAAGCAAGAGTAATATCAGAGGGGCCTGGAGACATGACTGATGAGCAAAGAAAATGTTATTTTACAGCCAGGAATGTCTGCATTGTTCATTCTGGAGATTATTTTGAAATTGTCATATTTTTTTAGTTTTCGTGAAATTGGCCATATTGCAAATTTCTGACCACATTATTAGGTAGTTGAAGTCGGTAAATGGGCAGTTTCTTGTACTCAATCGATAGAAAAAATGGAGTCCTAAAGAAATAGCTATGAGTTTTGGCGACTGGACCAATGGAATTAGCCGAAAATAGGGCTCAAAGTGGGCGAAATCGCCGATTTGTAAACAGCGCCGAGGTCGCTAACTTTGTGAGAGGATAATTCCGTCAGTTTTCCATCAAATTTCGTTTTTTTTTGGTGTCATTACAATCGGGAAAAGATTCTCTATCATTTCATAAGAAAAAATAATTTTTTTTTTTTAAATTTTGCGACACCAGGAGACACCTCAGGATTGGGGGTTGCGACAGTCAAAGGGTTAATGTAAATACAATTAATCCGTTCCAGACACCCTAAAATATTAACAAAAAAAAAAAAAACATTTTTTAAAGATTAACTATAGTTTTACATACAGAAAACAAGAAATAAATATAAGGCACAAATTTTAATGATAATGAACATTCCATACCTTTATTGAAGAGACTTGTTGGCGTATTATGGGTGAGTAGGGGAGAGGGAGTTGGGAATCCCTCTCCATAAGGACTTCAGGTATCAAAACCCTCTAGGGTTACTTCCCTTCTTTGTCATTTACTGCCATAGTACATTCATTACTTACCTTAAAATATTTGTAGTCTTAATGTAGGGTGAGAGGTGAGTAGTATTTATCTGTAGGAAGTCAGTGTAGGCAGCAGTAGATGTAGGTACACATATGTAGCTCCCCCCCTGGGCTACTCTACACAGCCATATTATTACCATGTTCACTGAGTTTAACTGTTTCTAACAACTACCTTTAGATGCCATCATAAACAAAGGGAGAAGTAATGCGTAAGAAGTGCGGTGACTGTACTCGACACCAGATTCACAGTTTTCTCTAACATTGAATCAGAGAAAACATAATGTTTACTCTCCACCTGACTCACCACTCGATAGCATATAAACATTGCATGTTTATTTGCTATATGCTATGTAACGTGTTTCTTATATAATTTTGAAGAAAATATCATAGGTGGATTAATGAAAATGTCTATATTAACCTAAAACAAGACATGTAATGTGCCCAAGAGTGATTATTATTAACCATACATCGCTTATAAACAATGCATGTTTTTATAGCTATGTACGTGTTTCTTTGGGCCATGGTGGCTTATTTCAGGTCGCATTCAATAAACAACCACAAAAAACATGGATTGTAACAAAATGTTGGATGAATGTCGGAATGTTGCTCACTCACCCAGACACACACCCAGACTGACTCACGAATGCGGACACGTCCAACACGGCTGATTTCCGAGTTACCAACTGAAATCCAGGAGAGAATTTTGGCCAAAAAAGCAAGCCGAATCCGGGTTCCACTGTATTGCCATGTGAATTTGGTTTGGCCTTCAAGAATGTCACACAAAAGCCACTAGTAAACAAATATGTTGTGATGGGGGTCTCTCAGATTTAATTCATGGACGTGGCTCTTGGTAACGGACAGAAATAAAAGGCAGGTGTGCTTTCCTGGGGCTGGGATTGAGAATATAGTTACCAGATTAACTAACATTCTGATTGGTAATGGGAGCAACTCTATTATCCACCCTAAGCATTGAAAAGATGCTGGGAAGTGTAGGAGAAGTACATCAGAGGTACAGATGTGTGTGTATGAAAAACTGTATTAGGGTACTATGTATTTTAAAATAACAGTGTTCAAGACAGTAAAGTAAAATGTGCAATAGTATCAAGGAACATGATGCAAGGAAAAACAAAATCAGAAACACTGGGCAACAATAAAACAACGAAAAAGAGTGGAAAGGCAAAGATGAACAAATTAATGATACAGGATAAAACTTTCTCAGGATATATTACTGTATACAAATAGTCGGACTTGAGTCCTGGAGATGGGAAGTACAGTGCCTGCACTCTGAAGGAGGGGGTGTTAATGCTGCAGTTTAAAAACTGAAGTGTAAAGCACCCTTCTGGCAAGACAGTGATGGAGTGAATGATGGTGAAAGTTTTTCTTTTTCGGGCCACCCTGCCTTGGTGGGAATCGGCCAGTGTGATAAAAAAAAAAAAAAAAAAAAAAAAAAAAAAAAAGTCAAATTGTCAAAATGGGATGTTTGAATGTGCATGGATGTTTTGTGGATGATAAGAAAGAGATGATTGTGGATGTTATGAATGAGAAGAAGGGATGTCCTGGCTTTAAGTGAAGCAAAGCTGAAGGGGGTGGGAGAGTTTCAGTGGAGAGGAAAAAATAGGATCAGGTCAGGGGTTTCAAATAGAGTTAGAGCTAAAGAAGGAGTAGCAATAATTTTTGAAGGATTTGCTATGGCAGGAAAAGAGGGACTATAAATGTATTATTTCAAGGATTTGTGGGAGTAAAATAAAAAGGTTTTGGGTGTGAAAAAATGGGTTATAGTAAGAGTATATGCACCTGGAAAATAGAGAAGTGTAGAGGATAGAGAGAGAGATTTTGGGAAATGTTGAGTGGGGAGTTTTGAATCAAGTGTGAGAGTACTTGTGGTTGGGCATTTCAAAGCTAAAGTGGGGTAAAATGTGTGGAGGAAGCAGTAGGTAAATTTGGGGTGCCAGGGGTAAATGAAAATGGGAGCCTTTAATTGAGCTATGTGTAGAAAGAGGTTTGGTATAAGTTATACATATTTTATGAAAATAGGATAAATAAATATAAAAGTAGTTTTATTAAATTTTGTATTGGTGGATAAAAGGTTGATGGGTAGACTCCAGGAGTACATGTTTTTAAAAGGGGCAACTGATATATTGGATCATTATTAGTTGTAGCTACAGTTAGAGTAAGAGTAGAAGGGACAAGAGGAAAATGACAACAACAAGTAAAAGGTCAAAGTGTATTTAAAATAACGGAGGAGGAAGTTCGGGTGAGATACAAGCAACTTTGGCAGAAAGGTGGCTGGTGCAAGTATGAGTAGTGGGGGGGGGTTTGAAGAGGTTTTGGGAATTTGTTTTAAAAATGCAGTATTAGAATGGGGGCAGAAGTTTGTGGTTATAGGAGGGTGGGGGCAGGAGGAAAGAGGACTGATTGGTAGAATGAAGTAAAGGGTGTGATAAAAGAGAAAAAGGAAGCTTATGAGAGGTTTTTACAAAAACAGAAGTATTATACGAAGATAGAGTATATGGAGAGTAAAAAAAAGGTGAAGAGAATGGTGAGAGAGTGCAAAAGGAGAGCAGATGATAGAGTGGGAGAGGCACCGTCAAGAAATTTCAATGAAAATACGAAAAATTTTGGAGCAAGTTAAACAAGTTAAGAAAGCCTAGGGAACGAATGGATATGTCAGTTAAAAACAGAGTAGGGGTGTTAGTAGATGGGGAGATGGAGGTATTGGGTAGATGGCAAGAATATTTTGAGGAACTTTTAAATGTCGATGAAGAAAAGGAGGCGGTAATTTCATGCACTGGCCAGGGAGGTATACCATTTTGTAGGAGTGAAGAAGAGCAGGATGTGAGTGTGGGGGAGGTACGTGAGGCACTACGAAGAATAAAAGGGGGTAAAGCAGCTGGAACTGATGGGATCATGACAGAAATGTTGAAAGCAGGGGAGGATATACTGCTGGAGTGGTTGGTTTTTTATTATCACACTGGCCGATTCCCACCAAGGCAGGGTGGCCTGAAAAAGAAAATCTTTCACCATCATACACTCCATCACTGTCTTGCCAGAAGGGTGCTTTACACTACAGTTTTTAAACGGCAACATTAACACCCTCCTTCAGAGTGCAGGCACGTATTCCCATCTCCAGGACTCAAGTCCGGCCTGCCGGTTTCCCTGAACCCCTTCATAAATGTTACTTTTCTCACACTCCAACAGCAAGTCAAATATTAAAAAAACCCTTTCTCTCCATTCACTCCTATCAAACCGCTCACGCATGCCTGCTGGAAGTCCAAGCCCTCGCACACAAAACCTCTTTTACCCCCTCCTCCAACCTTTCCTAGGCCCACCCTACCCGCCCTTTCCCTTTCCCCTACAGACTGATACACTCTTGTAGTCACTCTGTTTCGCTCCATTCTCTCTACATGTCCGACC